ATAGATAAATTCAAATTATGAAGGGAAATGTTTTAGTGTTTTGTTTCAATCCGACTGTCAAGTATTTTCACAAAATTTAAATAATATTAAGGTCCGGTCTGCGGTCAGCCCATATTTATTTGTTGAAATCAAGTACTTGCAGTAGCATTGGCCTGCTGAAAAACAGTTCCACAAAGTGGTATCTTATCCTCTATGACCGATATCAAACAAGTAGTTAAACAACCAACTTATTCATTAAATGTAATTGAGAGAGTAACAATATGTAATTTTGGTTCAGCATATCAAGATATGCCTACCCTAACTATCACCATTACTGTACCTGCCTATGTACATGATATGTAGATCCCATTATTTATATCGGTTACGCCACAGTAGCCAACACTTACTATGTAAATTTGTCAGTAAAGGTTTTCTAATGGCATATCTGCTTTATAAATCGATCTAACTCAGCAATATGCAAATATATCCAGAGCATGACGATGTATTTGTTGTTGGGTTTAGCTTGTCAGCTAGTTCCTTACTGCTTGCTGATCGATTCACATTGACATTCTATGTAACCTTTTGTGTTCGACCACCTCGATGCCTTTGGATAATAGAGCCTGTTTCACTATACTTTTTGATAGTGTAGTGGATGTATATTTTATTGATATGCAAAATTGTTCTGTTTTATCTGTAAGAAAAATTGAATGAGAATTGTTAAAAAAAGTTTTCATCAATTCTTTTTAAAATTCAAAGGTATATTGAAATTGAAAGGATTAAAAGGATTTAAATGATTTTGTTTCAATTTGGTGTACTTTATTTGAAAAATAAAATTATTTAAGCAACACATTCAAATACATTTCACTTTTGAAATTGGTGTATTGAAAAATAATAACTTTGTCCTCAACTTTTACGCAGCACTGTGCACTAAATGCTTGCGAAGGTAAAGTGAAGAAGTTTACTTCGTAATTAATATAAATTTCATATAATAGAGTAATATACATATTTAATGCATAATTAAATTACTTAAATATTTATTAGGTAATATTATTTCTCTATATTAATCAATACTTATCGTTATACCAAAAATAACTTAAGTACAGAAGGCTAGTGGATAAAATACCAATATGTTTCTTAAAATAAGTTCTATCAATGTGATTATTCAAACTTTTGTGTGAATAAGTATATAAAAATATTTGGTTCCAAAAGTTTGTGTTTTATATTTTTCAACTGTCCTTACACTAAGAATTAAAATGCTAGGTTGCTGAACTAAAGTTATTATAGTTTATTTGCAAGCATGCTAGTGACAAATATTTTAATAATTGAGATAATAATTGAGAACTAATACCATATATGTAAATTTTATACCATTTCCAATTGCATTATCAGTGAATTTTAAAGTACTTTAAAAGTGTGGAGCTATTAGCCTATATGTTTTCAAGGATATTGAAGGTTGATCAATGAAGAGCGTCGCAGATCTTTCTGGATTAATGACTCTCTTGTTTCCCAATTTACTGACGATACAGCTTGTGGTTTTAACAGCGCTTGACATAATCAGATAACAATCGATGATCGCTTCATTTCATTTAACGATCTTGTGAAAAGCTATTATTGATCGTGTGGTCTTTATGGTATGATTATTTTCTGTTAAATTTATAAAGTCACTGGTGTACTCAGATTAACCAGAGTTTAATTAAATTGATTTATAACTAAGTTGACTTTCAGTTTATTTCAATAAAAATTTTGTATTATGAATTACATTCGAATCAAAAATTCTTTTTAAATTAATTTTCGCATACTTCCTGATTGTAGATGCTTAGTCCACTTCGAATAACATTTAAACATATTTAAATTAGAAACCATGGAATACCTGAATAAAATTTCATTTAAGTTCATTGCTAAATGCTAAAAACATTATCGTAAATTGAATTTCGAGACCGCATTAAATGACGCTTCAGGCATTTCCCAAATCGAGTGTATTTATTATTGCATATAATTTTGTTAAATGAGTTTTAGGAATAATAAAGTCGTTGGCAATATTCTTACACCCAAAATGCTAAAAAACAAAACATTTCTCGATAATTGTCCATCGTAAATGTGGAAGTAGTTGAAACTGCCGAATATGCGCTCTGAACGTATGAAGAGAAGGGTGTTTCGATTATTTTAGTATTTTCTGACTGCTGGAAAATATTTGATACGGTCCATTTTAGAAAAATGTTTATTATTTCTCCACATAATTTTATTTTCCTTTATTTAGGTTAAGGGGTAGATGCAAATTGTGCATCTTCTGATATAAAAATTTATTATTTCATTATTAAATATTCGTTCTTATGGAATATCTACAGACCGATGTGTATGAAGTGCACGTTGTGCTGGTGTTCCCATTTAACTCCCTTAGATTTGTATATACGCTTTTAATGCGTTTTCATTTTTTTAATTTGTGTTTAAATATGTTTTCAAACCAAAGGAAAATTAAAAACGAACTATAATTCCACAATAAATGTGTCACTTCTGTTCAGTGTTGCAAAATTTTCAATCAACAATTTTTTAACATACAAAATGCATATTTTTTATATGTAATTTTTGTTTTGAATGCAGACCTTCCTTCAGCACAATTTATCTTGACACTCTATAAATTGTAATATTAAATTATTAACCAAAATAAATTTACAATTATTTACAGAAGCAGACACATGGCATTTTATGTGCTTTTAAATACACATAAATTCACCACAGCAGCCATGGAGAAAACAACAACAAGAAGGAAAAAAATTACTAAAGCACCTCTTTTAGATAACAGTGTGGGTGGTGTAGAGCAGTAGAAAAATGGGTGGGTGTGGTGAAGTGATTGCGGTGATATCCAGTTTATTTGAGTGACACTTGGGAGGAACATAAATCTTTCAAAAACGCCTTTTGGTGTGGCATTAAATATCTACAAACAAACAAATTGCAATACAAACATAGACATTCATATAAATAGACGGGGGAGATATTCTAATATTTTTAAAAATAATTTTATGAGTATCGATTTGGGAATATTTTATTTCGATTAAATTCCGCAAAAGCCATTTATATATATGGTGTGATTATTAAAGTTAAATAATTATCTTTATGCCTTGGTGATTTATAGCGCATTACCTAAATGTAGCTCTCCGACCGAGAGCATTTTAGAAAAAATATCGGTCCATGATTTTCTTAGTCTATTAAACAAGTCATCGTATACTTGTATTAACTTGACAAAACTTATGCAATATAAATCAGCAGTCATTTATAAAAATACTTCCTACTAGAAAGAGTGTTGCCAACATAGAAATTAAACCACTAAAACAAAGATTTTTCACATACAAACATTCAAAAAATTATTAATACTTCATAACCTTCAACTTTATAGTACTTTACTTTATTATTTTGAGTGCACTTAATACCAACTGACAAGGAGCATAAACAATGTTTCATATTTTAAGAGTGTTACCCTGTTTGCTTTTTAAGTTTTTAAGTTGCAGTTATAAATTATGTTTAATTCTGAATTTATCAATAAAATTTCAGGGACTGATTAAAATACAAAGGATCATTACTGGCAATCGATAAATTGCTATATACTAGAAAATAAAACGCTGAAAGCATATATAATATATTTTCATTACATTATTTCATGGCAATGACATGCCAGTATTTTAAGGAACGTGACAATTCCATTAATTATGCCAAAGTCAAACAATTGAGTTCACTGTTTCGTAACATTATTTCTTAAAATGTATTTTATATGAATAAGAGTACTAATCCAAGGAGGTCGACTTCACTGTCTTCAAATGCATTGAATTCTGGATTTGTGGGGAAGACAGACTAAAAATGCTGCGAAAATGTTTTTGCAATTTCCTATAATTTTCTTCTATAGATAGAAGGATCTGCCTTATGAATACTATTTGCCCATCATTTTTTTGATAGAGTTCATATCAAATTGTGTATACAGTAGAATATTTAGCTGCATTCGGTTGTTGCTTCATCTACTAACCGTCCATTTTTGAAGTGGAGAGGCGTTTAACGCTTCAAAGAATAACTTGGAGGCAATCAAGGTGTTCTGATTGCATTCGGGTGCTTCTTTAACATTGTTCAATATATATATTATATTCAAGTTTCAAAATCAGGTCGTGGGTATTTTTGTGAGGTAGCATCTAGTACCAATGCATCCATACTTTCTTTACGTATAACTTATTCTTTATCAAAGAATTGTGTAATCTGATTATATATATTCATATTCGTTTTCTATTGATTTCTAATAAAATCAAAATAATCGTATATGTGCAAATAGGTTTATGGTTTATTCTTGGTTATTCATCGTAGTGAGATTTCAATAATATCTTAGGTATAAAGTACAAAATCGATTAAACGTGCTTCACGATTTTGTTACAGTACTAGATATAATTGAGACAATTTCAACCACTTGTAAGCAGATGGGTTGCAATAACTCGACTGTTACGTAAAGGATATTTGATATTAAAGCATATAGACTTTGACAGTTATTTGCCATAACGCTTTATTTTACATAACTCCGAAAAAAACGTCTAGAGTTATCAAATTACAATGTGAAATTTACAATACATCCTTGAGAAGTTTCTTGAGCAACAAAGCCAAAAAATTGACGTGTTGTGAAGCTTTTGGTACCATCATCTTAAAGTAAGACATGCTTCATATCGATTTCTTTATTTTAATCTAAAAAAAGTTGGCAATCATTTGGGCTTATTGATTATATTCCACACGGGAAAGGGGTTAGAATATTCCCGAGGTAAGACATGCACGTCGTAAGAGGCGTTTTAAATCTAGTAGGCATCACTCGATAAAATTTCTAATACTAACCTCGTATAATTTTTTAAGTCTTTCATACAAATATGTATTTTAAGTTGTATTTTATGTAGAAAGTCTAAATTGGACTAGTTTACAGAATAAACACAAATAATATTTGTAAATATATTAAATTTGCTGCTCCTGATGTTGATGTTTGGTTTTGGGTTTGCATATTACAGACAAAACGGTACCAATTTCATGGCCACAACGCGGTGACATCAGCTTTGAAAGTGTCAGCTTAAAATACGAAGGCAAAAGCGAGAATGTAATCACAAATTTGACATTAAAGATACCGGCAGGTCAAAGGGTAAGTGAAAATAAACCAGCAAAATAATATTAGAATTTCTCCACATAATTTTATTTATTTATTTCGTACTAAAATTGCCAAGCATTCAGGACGTATTTTAAAAGATAAATAAGGAACTGAAACTTCTTGTGTACTTAAGAGTTTACGCTTGAGGCAGCACCATACTGTACCCGCACCCCATCAAGTACACAACCTGACAGCTGTCAAATTTGAAACTAAATTTCTGTAACTTTGGTCTTTTATCATTTCTCTGCTACTGTTCTGTACTTGTGATTTTTAAATAAGTACGTTATTTTGCAACGCGCTCGAACTCTTCTCGTTCTCTACTCTATTCAGGCACCGCATGCAATGCAAACTGATACGACTGACCTCACTAAAATAATTCGTTACTGTTAGAAAATTGCATATCAAATTTTATTCTGGTTTATTTATTTATTTTAACGCTGCAGTGTTTGGCTTCCAGAAACCACAACCCGTCAGCTCAGTATTTTGTTTTACAACTAAATTTAAATTTAAATTTACCGCCAACCATTTGCAGCGAAAGTGTGGCCAACTCGAAACAAAAACAAAATCATCGCTGTTGTTATTTCGATTTTTTTGTTTGTTGGTGCAGTTCTGAACCGTTTTGAGTTGTCGCTGGTCTAAGTTCTTCTTTTGTATTCATACATAAATACAGAATACTTCACTTACCGCCAAATATTGTTCCAATTTCGACACTTTAGCAGCACATATGCAAGTCACCGTGACACAAATTGTTCTTTGCTCTTTTTTCATAGCTTTTATTTACATTTCGTTGGAAGCCGTTTTGTATAACATATTTTTATTAACTTTTTATTTGCTTTCGTTGTTGCATTTTACAGTTGCTACTTTATTTCATCACTCCAAATGTGCACCGCCCCAACCTATTCAAACCGATCCAAGCCGACCCGCCAGCAGTGCATCAAATGTGAAGTGCATGAAATCCATTAAATGTCGACAATAACCAAAATTGTGACAATATAAAAAAAAAAAACAAAAAAAACTAATAACTTGAAATGTGGGTAAACGAGGCCAATTTTATAATTTATTTCCTTATAGGTAGAAAAATTTGTTTATTCCGTGCTAAGGGCTAAAAACAAAAACAACAGATGAACAGATCCAAAATCTTTGACTAGAGAAAGTACTTTGTCTTGTTATTTGAAAATGAAATTTGCTGAAGCTTAGGCAATGTTCCAAATTTTACTATTAAAGTAATGAGGTTTATTTCTCTGTTACTCCTAACAATTGGATAAACAAATTGCATAGAATTTTCAAAAACCGAGAATAGAGAGGTAGATATATAATTGAAAAAAATCAAAAAAGTGTAAAAAAATTAAGAGTGAAAATTACAGAAATAATGACAGTGGAAGAGATGAAAGGTTAAGGTCTGATAAAGCCGTTATTTGAAAGCAAGCAATCATGGTTCGAATATTTAGGAAACTATTTAAAATTTCTCAGTTCGACCGTTTCTGAATGTTCTTTTGGGTAGATTTTATACAAGCAAGGTATGTGTTATATCAGTGGAGGAAAACCATGCATATAAATTATAATAATGAATAAATGAGGAATTAACTGATGTTACTAATGGCAATATTTATGTTGTCATAGTCCAAAGTTTTGCTAAAAAGAAACTAGCAATACTTTGCATAATATGTTGCGATCAGAATAGTCAAGAGGTGTAAGCTAAGAGTTAGGTGAAAGATAGAGCGAAATGCAGATCAATTTTTACCGCTTCAATTAATAGGACTTGAATAAGTGTGTATATTAGGATATGACTACAAATGGGCAACATCACAAGAAGTAGAGTTATAGATTCAGAGAACCTAATTTGATTCAGATAGTATTTGCTGCTTGTAGTGGACATACCATTTGATCAGAAAAGAACGAGAAGTTAAAAAACACACAAAATTTTAATTTTTAATAATTTTCTTTATTATCGCCTTAAAAGTACTCTCCTCCTGCGGCAATACATGCATGCCCACGCTTGATTCAATTTTCCATTCAAGTTTTATAGGCCGCCGAAGGTTCACGAAGGTTCAAGTTTTATATGACCTTTAGTTCACGCAGCGAATTCTCTTTTATGGCCACTATGGTCTGAAAACGCGTTCCTCGCAATGGCAATTTGAGTCGTGGGAAGAGGAAAAAGTCACACGGGGCCATATCTGGAGAGTACGGTGCTCGGTGCTTGGTTGATGATATTGGTGGAGTTGATGATATTGATGGAGAAAATTGCGACACAACCAACGCTGTGTGAGCCGGTGCGTTATCATGGTGTAAAATCCATGAGTTTTCCTTCCATAAATCTGGCTTCTTTTTGCAAATGGCCTCATGCAAACGACGCATAACGGTCAAATAATCCTCCTTATTGACCGTTTGACCGTCAGGAAGGAATTCATAGTGCACCACACTACACTATGAATATCGAAGAAAACAGTCAGCAGAAACTTGATGTTGGACCGACTTTGGGGTTCTCTTTTCGGTTTCGGTTCACCTTCGAAGCACCATTCGGTATTCGGTCGATTGTTGTTTGGTGGCCATATCAAATTCATAGACCCATGTGGCAACACCAGTTATGATGCGTTCGATGGTTGTGGGGTCAGATCACTATCTGCGTTGGAAATCATCTCTTTGGCCACATCACAACGACGTTTTTTTTAAATGAAATTTTTGATCCATTATGAAAATCGCCACACGAAAATTTTTTTACTTCTTCGTATAGACGCCAAACAAAAGCTTGTCGTGCGTTAAACTTTGACAGAATGTGTATAATAGTGTTGCTAGCGTGAAAATAAAAAAAATTTACCGATTGGATAAGCGCAGGAATTCAAAAACAGAACGAATAAGTTCTTTTTTGATCACAAGGTATCTTGCCTCCAAACATTTTAGAGAGAAACCTGATGAGTAGTTTGTTGCGATAAATGAGGAACCCAATAAAATTACTATCACGGTATGGAGAGTAAAAAGCTGTTCCTGGTATTCGATTTCAGGAATATTATTTCCGTAGCTAATGTTATCATAATACGAAAGTATATAGTCTTGGTAGATTAATGTTTACTTAAGGTTATACTAGGCGAATTTTGCAAGTCGAATAATTCAAATATTTTAATCGTTTTTGAATCGGGTTCTGGTCACAAGCAATAACATATTAGATATAGGAACAAAAGTTGTTTGTGAGTTAAGAAGAAAACAACAAAACGTAACGGACGGAGAGATGAAAGAGTACAAACAATTGAATGAATGTACAAAAAGTAGATAATTGGAAAAAAAGCAAAGAACTAGCTTGGAGTTATACATGGTACTTTAAGAACAAAAAAAAAAAATTGTGCTGTGGAACACAAAGCCGAAAAAAATAAGACATCTAAATAAATAAGAACAAAACAACAAAAATTAATAAAAGCGAAAAGTAAAATGCCTAAACAATGGAATGGTGGAAATAAAAATAGAATAGAGTAAAAAAAGAGGGAGAATGTCCATTAGGGATGGTTCATATTTTAATAGCAAGGAAAAAATGTTATAATAAAGAGAAGATTCGAAAAAGTCTCAGATCAGTTTGATTGAAATCGTAAACTGAGTTATTTATTATTATGGAAGAGCAAGAAATATTGACGTGATAAAAATACAACAGGCAGCAAATGAACAATCACCTGTGAGGTTGCCAGTGCTTGGGTAACCTATATAGTAGGAATACTTCACTGTCGATGTTGAAGAGTAGTTGCAGAAAGCAATTTTCGTCGCTGGTTAGGATTAAAAAAATCATATTTTTCTTTTTGCAAATTTTTTCTGCTGGTAGCTGGTATCACTTATAGTTAAAACTAGTGCGATAACTGTTTGCTTTCAATCCTTTAACTTTTGTTCTTAGGTGTGGTTATACTCGCGTTTTCAAAGAATCCACTTAGACCGATAGGCCCATTGTGTTACCGTGTAATTAAAAACCCAAGGGTTAGAACCACTTAGAACCTTTGGTAAAGCTTATAATGCTATTTATAGGAAGGTCTTGCAGGTCGTCAAGATCCTCAAAAAAGAAAGCCTCTAAAGTGTTAAAGCGGAGCTGCGTATGAGCCCGACAGAAACAAAGCAGATGGGAGGCACTTTCATCGTTCTTACCACAACTGCGACATTATGATTGAAAAGGAGATTCAGTCTCCTTGCATCGTTACCTAAAATACAATGACCTTTAAGTAAGTACGGTTTTGAGAATAAGAACAAGTTTGACCTTTCTTTGTTGAGTTGGAACATGGTTTAAGGTAAGACAATGTTCAAAAATGGTCAAGAGCCGCGTTTATTAGCACCCAAGGCTTCTGAAGATTAATTAGATGTACACCATCTGGTCCTGGTGATTTGTGTTTATTGAAGATCATATTTTTCGTTATTTTTCACTGGTTTCTGAGGTCACTATACTCCAATTTTTGTTGTTGTAAAGTTTCACTATTTGGCTATTAGGAGGAAAAATTTTATGAAAAAATTCGGACACCTTTTTCGGGTATTACAGATAGAAGTGAAAATGATCATGAAAAAATTACTGACTTTTTGTGTAATTTCGCTAATAAAATTTTATTGATAATTAAAATTTTAAAAAAATCAAAAATGATCATTTTTGAATAAATAGCAAAAAACGTCATGTACGTCATGTATATATATAGTCCAATAAGTGTGAAAAGTTTTTTTAACAATAATAAACGATTTAATATGAAAATTTTGCATAAAAAAATTTTCGAATCTAGATAATAATATAAGTTTTCCGAACATCAAAATTCAGCTTTCTATCTATCATAGTTTTTAAGTAATCTTGGGACCACGCTAAATATTCCATGTTTGGATAAAATTTCGGGAAGTTTCATATCAATATCTCTACTGGTTCCGAAAATATCGAATTTTGACTGCCTGATTTTGTGTTTAGTCACACTGTGTGTTGGTTAGCTGTTTCAGGTAACTTGATTGTATTTCCTTTTCGTATTCTCAGGATCTCAGGTCTTTGTCACTATCTTCCGAAAGCATGAGAGCATTATATTTTTTCTTCATTAGTATGCAAGATCTAGGGCTCACCGTTGTTGACCGCATATATCAAATACAAATTTTTAGTCCTGAATCTGCACACAAGATCTCTATGAACTTATAGCTCTTGCCCAACGACCATATCGGCTTCGTTGCCGCTGACTTGCGGGGGCAAGTCTAATGTCGCCCATTTCCTTTAGGGTGTCAACAGCGCCTTGCAGTGTTAATGGACTCATTTAATTCGGTGTGAGGGTTGCTCCTCATTCTTTTTATAAATTCTAATTGTAATGGTTGAAAAACTGTGGTTTATGACACCATTACATCTCGCCAAAGTAGCCAAGGATACTTTGTGATCTTCCACGTTGCTGTCGTAAGTTGACGGTTTCCTAACCAGCTCCAGAATCCGTTGAAGATACGACGGCTCGGCTGCAATCTAGGTACGTACTCTGGATTGGCTAGGGATTTGCTTCTTATAAACAAACTTGAGTTTGGCGCCTGAACATATCTCACCAATTCTGGAGATCGCTTTGCGGAAAAGATCATCAGAACTTTGTCTGCGCAGGCGATTAGTTACACATGTCCTGATGTCATCTACTTTCGCAACATGTGGGGCCGTCACCGGAAAAGTCTTTTAGTAGATCGACGTAAATATCAGGGAGTTTAAGCTTAGTCCCACTTAACAAATGTGATTGTGCAATTAGGATCACTTTCATCAATTACCTACATTATTATCGAGCCCCTTAGCATGTCGCAAAATGATTTTACATTGGTGACGTTGCTACGAAGTTTTACCTTTTTGGCATTTGGTTTTAAAGCTGAATGATCTAATGAGCGCTGTCGCTTCGATGCAGGTTCTTGTTCGTTCTTCGAGGTACTGAGAACCTTCTTTGCTCAGGCAGTCCTGGACTTCATTGATTCGGATGTGACCAAAACATTACCGTATCTTTCGAGCAGTCGCCGCTCGCCGTTCTTTGTAACCCCTTCTTGACGGAGGTCCTAACCGAATTAGTGGTCGAGAACGCATAGATGCGCTGGGTGGCTTGTTGACGCGCACCATTTTATTACCGCTACAAATCGCGATGGGTGCATTATTTAGACACGTAGTGTCCGAAGGTTTTGAGCTCTGTGTAGCCGAACTTCTTGCTACCAAAGTATTTTATTTTCTTTGTGTTTAGTTTATTTATGATTTAACCCACGAGTTGCGGAGAAAGCGAAAGTCCAGAGCAGAGATCCGCTATACTTGGCCAAGGCTAAGTTATAGAGGGCGTCAGTAACTTGAAAGCCTCCGTTTATAGATGCACTAACGTAATACCATTCATCTCATCAGCATGGGTCGAATAATACCGGAGATAACGGGGTATGTCGAATTTTCCTCTCCAGATCTATGATGTTCTGTTATGTCGAAGTGATAGTCAACATGAAGAACAGGTTCACGTCGAGAGGGGTGTGATAAAGTATCACGCATTATGGTTTTCATATGGCATAGACTAAAGGTACTCACATCAGTGTTAAGCGTGATAATATCTCGTTCAAAGAAAAACACGAAGAATGAAGAACTTATTAAGAACTTTTGTTTTTAATTAATAAAATGTAAATCGTTGATAATTATTTGTGCTTCGTTTAGTCTTCTAATCCTTGATAAATTTCAATTCAGATGTTATATTCATGCTACTAAACTGTTTCTATAAATTATCACATTTGCTCTGAAAAGCTTTCCACTCGCTTTTGAATTATATGGATTTATTTGTGAGGACATTTATCTGTTAGATAATTGCAAGAATCCACTCAATAAATTTTTGATATGCAATTATTTTTTGAAATTAATTCTAAGCGCATTTATATTTTTAAAAGTACTTCAATTCAAAATAAGATAATATATAAAATTTTTCTCATTTTAATTTTGTTTTCTGAACTTTTTTTCATTACTTTATGCACTTCTACGAAACTCAAACCGTACGTCTGATAATACATATGTGTGTGTGTACGAATAAAATGTACATGCTTAAATAGATTGGCATCTGTGGTCGTACCGGCAGCGGCAAATCCTCTTTGGCCTTCTCCCTGTTCGGTGTATTACAAACGACAAGTGGTCGCATTCGCATCGATGATGTCGACATAACACAAATTCATCCTGACGAGATACGTACTAGATTATCGATAATCCCACAGGATGTGCATTTATTCAATGCAACAATACGAGAGAATCTCGACCCGCCGGGTTACTATTCGGATTTGGCGCTTTGGAATTGCCTTGAATTGGCACAGTTAAAGGAATTCGTCAATGTACAAATGCCGCAGGGTTTGGGTAAGTAAACACAAATAAATACCAAAACACAAAATGAAAGCAACAAACCGGGAAAAAAGGGGCACGAAATACAAAATTTTAGGGGAAAATGCTTGCAAATGCTTTACAAGTTCATTTATATGGTTGCTCATATTAAAGTACAAGCAGAAGGCAATGACAGTATAGAACAGTAGAGGACAGTACAGAATGGAATAGAATACGATAGCATAGGACGAGAGAGGATAGGCGACTTATCACAGGAGTCTGCCTGTGTTTTGTGAAAATTGTTGTACAAGTGCTTCATGGCTTTCGGAATTCATTTGGGGCAGATTTAGTATTCAGGCGAATATGAAAGATCATGTTTATTTTCGATTGGATTGGAATTTGTAATGTGATAAGTTAGAAAATTTTCCAATTGCATGTATCCATGTCGTTGCCGGCTTCGTTGTAATATTGCTGTGATTCAAAGTTTAACTTTTAAATAAATTTTTGTTTATATTGTTTTTTTTCTATTTGCGCATAAATTGTTAAAAGCACTGGTAGAGGATGAACGGTTTAGTGATATTTCATTCAGGATTGCAGCAAGTGCACTAAAAACAATTTACTCAAAATTTCTAGTTGGTTGACTAAGCAAATTGACTGAAATTAAATAAAATAACAAAACCCAAAATAAATTTACAAAAATTTAATATAAATAAATCTAAATTTGTTCTTTTTAGACACAGAAATAACGGACGGTGGCTCTACTCTTAGTGCTGGGCATCGGCAACTATTCTGTTTGGCACGTGCAATTTTACGTGGTTCGGTGTGCCTCATATTGGATGAAGCTACAAGTTCCTTAGATAGTACAACAGAAAATGCACTACTTGCTGCGGCCCATAAGGCATTTCAGGGACGTACCATACTTACAATTGCTGTAAGTCAGAATATTTCTTATAAATTTAAGTTCAAGAATTTTATATGAAAATTGAACAAACTTTTCTTTGACAACTTACAGCATCGGCTGTCCACCATATTGGACTATGATCGAATTATTGTATTGGAAAACGGGAAAATTGTCGAAGATGGCAGTCCAGCAGAATTGCAGCGGAAATCAAATGGCATTTTTAATACTTTGCTCCTTTCTGGTCGGCCATTGTCGGCAGCAAGTGATTGCAGTATTTTGCAGGATTTCAAGCAGGAGAGTCGGAAGCAATCATAGAAAATATATTTTAAATAAAAATAATATACTTTTATAACTTCAAGATATTGTTACCTAATGTATTTTCAAACGTGTGTGTGTTTGATTTTTTGTGAAACTATGCCATATATCGATTTACTTAATTTTGTACCCTTAATCGTTATTGTTATGAGTATTTGTAAGATTTTTTGTAATAAGAATAACAACAATGAATATTTTGTATGTGAACACAGAACTTTAATTTACTACAGTATATTGAATTGAATCTTAACTCTTATTTTTATAAAATTCATTGCATTTGGTATCCGGAGGCACTTTCGATAATAGCATATAGACCCGTTGGTCTGCATGAAGTTTGTTTAACTTTTCGGGAAGGGTTTTAATTAACATCTTCAAACCCCCAAATGAGCCTACAACAGTTTGTTGTTGCGATATTTTGCCATCAGGTTCTTTAGTATATGTTTCAGTAATTTTGCCAAATATAACATAGTCGTAATCAGCCGCGTACCCGCATTCCTGTTCGTCGGAACTATCCAGGTCGCTATCACATTTGCCATCATTGCGCAAGGTATTGGAAAGTACGAAAAAGAACTTCTCACCAAGTTCTATTGGATATACGAAGTTAAATAGTTCCAGTTCTAAATAAATGCTTTCACATTGACAAATCAAATTTGAGCAGCGCCCAAACGTGTTAACGTTTGGGTTAACTTCCTTCACTTCAAAAACTGCTTTAAATAGAACACCAGGCATGTTTGATTACTGAACTGTAAAGCAATATAAGAGAAAAAATTACAATTACTATTGTTTTTATATGAAAGATATTTTATAAAAATATTAGATTCTTCATCTGTCGAAGTTTCAAGGTTTGTGTTTAGCGGCGTAGTCACTATTACGTCAAGAAATGATTGGTGTTAGATCTCAAATACTATTCGAATTGGTGTTAGAACACCATATTGTGTGCGTTTAGTCACTGTGATACGTATTTGTGTATAGAAATACGAAAATAAATCAAAAATTGAGAAAATGAGATATTATAAAGTTAATTAATTAATTAATATTAGATATAAATATCTACTTCTAACATTAAATGTTTCACATTTCTTTTAGTTCTTTTTCTGAAAAGTGAAATCTTCTTCATTCTTCTTAAAAAAATATATTTTATGTAATAAAAATAAATGTAACGGTCGAAATATTCATTTCAGCGTGTTCTTCAAAACCCGTGTACTTAGTAGTGAGTCGTCTTGTTTAATTTAAACTGTGCTTATTCAAAAGTGTTGATTACACAAAAAGCAGAACTTTGCATCTTCTCTTAAACCATATTCACTAGTTTGTAAAATTGGCAAATTCGATTCTTATCTACATTGATCACATTATTTAAAGCGATATCACGCGAATCAATCTATAATCATATGAAGAATAGTAAATAAGGTATAATAGTATAACATAACAGTTACTAAAATTCGTCATTAAATTGCGGTACCCACGATTGTGTAATCGCCTATTAAAACCTATTTAATAGATCTATTTTGCAGCTGCTAGGCTTCTTGTAAGATCGATTGCTTTTTTTCTAATAAAGTATAGATAATGTAATAATGTATTATGAATATATAATACAGGAATCATGAAAGCAAAAATAAATAGTTCTATGTAAAAGTTCTACTGTATGCTAATGTAATAACTTATGCTCAACTAAGTTGAAGCAACTAAAAATATTGTGACAATAATATTCATACTTCAAATTCATACTCATATTCATTACTTTTATGTACCGACCTTATCGTAGGTACATTGTAGGCGGATCTATGGCAGTTCATGGAGACATTTACGAAATACTACAAAACAAAAATACGTGCAATTATAGTAAATAATATTAAATATTTGTTCATTAAATATTTCTAGTATGAAACGATGTTGTTGAATTTAAAGATATAGAAAACAGTTTAGTAAAGCATTGCGCTAGGTTCTTTTATGACTTAGCTCTTTCGTATTACTCTTCTAGTTAGATTACTGAAACAAATTCAATATTTGTAAATGACTAGATGAAGCTCATACCTTAAAATGTGTTTTTGTTTGACAAATATCCCCGACAAAGTGTCTCCATTCACTTTTGGGAGTGCTTTCGACTCCTGGAATTTTAAGAATTGCTAAATAAAATTTAAAATTAAATAATATAATATATTTCTTTTACAAGTTTTTTTCAATTTAGTGTTTTTTATTTATAAATATTTCAAGAAAATTACTCTCAAAATTTTGACAAATTTCACATAGGACTAAAAAATAAAACACAAAATTTATTTCATAAATATCTTAAAATAATTCAGATATATTTATATATTGATTATAGTAGGCTTGGTTACATATCACGAGAATTTATTGATAATACTTCTTCAAATTTATGACATAATGTATTGTGATACAATCGCCATTGACATTAGCCTGTGCCAGCATTGTTTCCAATTTGAGAAGTACCATGGAATACAATTTTGGCTATAGTCATGAATCCGTACAACGATTTCGTTTTTATCTCATCTATTTTTGAAAAAACCCTTTAGTCCTATAAGTCCCTTAAGAGTTTAGCTGGTGAATAGGACAGTTGCGAAGGTATTGTATGAACACCAAATTATTGGAACGAAATTTCTAAAAATCGTTTCGCATGATTCGAATAAATTAAATGTAATTAGTAATCACTCTGATGATATTCCGATTGAGGTGTTTGTGCTTCCAGACTTCATGAAGGTGCTTAATTCAATCAACTATTTGCAAATGTGACACTGTGTCGTCGGCAAAGTTCTTGCTCCATATAAATTCTTATTAAATTATTCCACATAATTATTTTTTTGGTCTAATAATTACAGGGTTCCCGTTAATAAGAAACGATATACGGGTATATTATTATTATTATGTTACATAGTTTTTAACATGAACAAAAAATAACATTTAATCTTTCTTCGCTATACTCAATATTGGTTTTAAGAAAAAACCAGTATTATAAAATCTGCCTGACAATTGTTTCATTAGGGGCAAGGCCCCTAATACACAAAAAAATTTATTATTTAAACTAGATATAGGAAGACATTTCGTGCAAAATCAGATAACTGCTTTAAATCAGTTATATTTACTTATGGTATTTGTATATATTCATTTATGAGCCTTGTATGAATAAGTATCGCCTACATAGCATAAATACATCTGTCGTTTATTCTTTATTTTCATCAAACTAAGTGCAATGACTAATAAGATTACTTAGGTGTACTCTATTGGTTATTGCACGACGGTGCGTCTTGTATGACTAGAACTGTATATATCAATAAATTATTGACAACTCAACTTTAAGCTTATGATAAATTTCTACTACACAAGACTGTGCTTTCATGACTGTGAGGTAGTAAAATAATAATTTGCATGTGAGCATATATAAAAGTACCTAACAAAGAGTATTTTTCCACATATTCCGTAGGCACAGTAACATTATTCAAATATGCATTTTACGGTCCCACATCGAAAATCAAACTTAAAATGACAACAAAATCTACTTGAAAAGTTAAAATGTTGATGGATTCCACTCTCTACAGCAGCTGCGAAGACATTATTGCGGATCAGTAGGAATCGCATTTTTACACGCTTTTAACTGGGCTAAAATGTGTTGCAGTTGCACGTGATGCAGTCACGTTGACGACTGTTGTTTCGTGCCAGCTCCAAACTTTAGTTCCGTCTGTTTGTATTAACTTCGAATTATTATTAAAATTTATCTGAAACTCTTTTTATGCGAATCTATGCTACAATGCGCTTCTTTTCCTAAATCTTAATTTTAAGTTCTTAGGAAAAGGATTTTGAGACAAAAATGTGTTCGACGAGTGAACACGTACCACTCATTGTAATGTATGTGCATTATGAGTGGACGAAAAGTTTATAATTGATTATAATAATGACTGAGTTTGTCATTTATGATTTGGTTGATCTATTATGAATGAATAGTGGTGACGCTATACCAATAGTGAGTAATGGCGACATCAGCTTTACCTATCCTGTTCCATTTTGAACGGTTAAAACGAAAATATTAAATATGTTCAATTATACGATAATACGAACAAGGCAAATATTATAATAATTATGCTAACCGCACATTATACATAAAATAAAAACTTATGTTTTTAGATACCGACGAAACAGAGAATTCCTGTTATCAAATTTTTAGTATAACTGACAACCTCAATCCATTAGGTCTAAACCATTATCTAAATCCATCATCTAAATGAATTGCAGAAGTCCATCAAGGATAGCAAGAACAACTTTTTGATAGGTCTGAGAGAATAAACCAGTTAAAGTGAAGTTACAAAAGAATTTCTCTCTCAGAAATGCAATTTCGCTAGGTAGGGCACATTTTCAAAAGACCAAATAATAAAATTGCTGGACAGACATATAGGTAAAACGCGCTACTTTCTAGAATGATAACAATGAATTGCGGATTAAACGATACAAACTATTCATTTAATGACATCGTTGACTAATCCCACAATATTCTTTGATGTAAAATGACAACATACGTTATAAATATTCAAAGAGTTAAATAATGTATGGGGCACGTTGTTGGAAATGTATGTCGATACACTATCCATCATATTTTATATATAAACAATGAACTTGTTGTTCTACAGATATTTCTAAAAAATTTATTTATTAAGTATCTAAAAATTATTTAACTGAAATCTTACAACTTAAAAGCATAAAGCTGATATAAAAACCTATTTACTTATTTGTGTGATATGTGAATATGAAAATGAAACGGATTATATTGATGTCAGATATTGAGTTTTAGAGATGTGAAGTATAATTCTGACAAAGAACAAATAAATATAAATAAATATATAGGTTATGTATAGGTTATGTATATCTATAAGTTACATACATATATATATATATATGTTATATATATATGTTATATATATATGTTATATATATATGTTATATATATATGTTATATATATATGTTATATATATATGTTATATATATTATGTAACTTAGTTAGGTTATATTACAACCTAGTTTAACACATATATTATATTATATACAATCTATTTATATAGCCCATTTATAAAGTATATTAATGCTGATTATAAATACTAGGTCACGTGAGTAGAAAATATTGGGACTTAACAATGAGAGTTCTTATTTCCCTTGTATCCAACTATAAAGAAGGTTGTGCATTTTTTAATGACTCTATTTACAAAGTCATTTGAAATATATCCACTAAGCGATATCGTGGTGGCTCAACACATTCTATTACGGAAGAAGAAATATATCGAAATAGTTTATTTACTAACGTCCTTATCACACAAACTCTATTAGTTAGTCCATTAGTAGATATTTTATTAGTAAAGTTATGGATAGGTAGTGGACTCATAGCTGATGATAACACAGCATTTTTACTCTTTAGTAGTGAATAAAATCGAAGTTATGCCAGAGATTTACGAATTCTGATTATGTCTAAAGTTACCAGCTGCAATTATTTTACATGTTCCAGAATTTTTATCACAGATATGAAAATCCGCATCATATATGTAGAAATATTTTTCTTACTGTGTACTTCTCCAACAAACTGGTACTTTAGATGCATCTTATTCTTTATTTTGTGTACTGCCAGCTACACCACAGCTATACTAAATACTCCTCCAACTTTTGCAGCTAAAGAAATGATTAATACAAGAGATTTTGTATTTTTAATTTATTAATTATTTAGGTATTGATTTATTTACATTTATTTATATAAACATAATTTGAATATAATTCAGTTAGCAAGCCCCATCGAGAGTTGTAAAAAGAAGAAGTCATGTAAAGAAAAAATCAATATTGAAGGGACAGTATGTTAAGCAAGGTTGACGAAAGTCAACATTGGGTGGCATATTAAAAATGACATTGTGCCACTTGAACAAAGTTGGATTTTCAGTACAAAATGAAAAAATGTTTTTTTTTAGAGATCATTTTATATTTAACCCGGATAATTTGTATGAAGTACGAGATATATGTATTTTTTTGGTGACCATATATGTAAAAGTTTGGTTTAAGTGCACGAGTAGAGTTACAGCAGCGAACCAAGATCTTCAACTCATTAAAAACGCTATTCAATATTTCATCATTGACAAAGAAATTTCGAACGACGTCTTAATGAAAATGACCAATCATTTATGGTACTTAGGAGAAGAAGAACACTGTTGATAACACTGTTTCAGTTGAGGAGAAAACAAAAATGATTGGAAATCTTAGTTACTCATCAATTGATATACTCATCACTTAAATATGTTCCAAAAAACAAAAAGCTTGATTCTTCAGATATTAGAAAATATGAATCCACGCTGAGTGAGTTGAAGTCATTTTCCTCAAAGAACGTTAATGACTTTGTGACCGAGAAGATAATAAATTTTTTCGATCATTTTTGCCTATCGGACAGTTTTATCAGTTTCGATTCTTAGACGTGGATGAAGAGACAAGATTATAGAGATGACCAAAAATTATTTTCGATTTTGACCAAAAATATAGAGGAAAAACAATATGTGCTGCAAATAGTCGACCATAATCATAAAAATTATCATTATCATTTAACAAATCAGATTTAAGTTATAAAACATAATAAGCACCATATATAAATAACTGAAAAAAAAAAGATTTTCTTGAAATTATAATTTTTTGTAAATAATTAATTAAATCATTGAATGTATTGCAATCCATAGTTGACTTAAGGTTATTAATTCGGCTAAGCAATCTCACTCTAAATCGTCAAAGTGGTTGAAGGTACAAAGAACACAGAGCGAAGTCGTTTAACGTATTATTCTGTTTTGCACATATGGTAATTTTTAACCGATTTTGCTAATCAATACCTTATTAAAATAATATTTTAATTATCTATCAAATGAATATATATTATTAATTGTTGAAATAAGTAACAAAGACATACTATGACCTTGAAATGAAAAATGTCCGTTTTTTGTGCTAAAAATCCAACTGTATTCGAGTGGCGCAATGTCAGTTTCAATCCTATTCCTCCAAAACTTCGGGAATATCGTTGTTTTGGTCAATGGCATAATCCTAGGGGTTGTGCTCATTTAAAATTAAATTTTTGCATAGTGACATATTAACAAATGAAAAGAAACTAGTACGCTCTTTTGAAGTGAAAAATGTGATAATTATATAATAATACAATTAAA